CTCAGTGATTCCCAGATCTGTCTGCTTGCTGTGGAAGGCAATCTTTTTGAAATAAAGAAACTTCGAGAACTGGAAGGCTATGATAAGGTATGTATTAGTGTAGTACTACATTTGTAGTCACTACCCTAGAGAAGAAAATGATGAAGTAGCCCCCATGAATGTTTATAGCTAATGTCAACAGGATTTATTTTTCCCATTTTGGAGGTGGATTATAAGAACTGGTCAAATGATATTGTGCCAAGATGACTTTTTCTCTATAGATATCTTATTGTAAAGCATTTTTGTCTTTTGAAGTATTCCATTAAAATACACAACAAATTTTAAAAATATGCTTAAAATTAGCACTTAGAATAGGTAGATTTTGTAGGAAATGAAGGACCATACCCAGTAAAAACTAAAATAGAAATAGAAATATATATATAAACGTAAGTAGCAAATAGCTAGGTTTATACTTGCCATGCCAAACTACCACATATATATTATTCTTTCACGGTTTTTAGTACATGGAGAGGTTCACGGCCACAAAGAAGAAGTTTGCATGATGTTCTCCAGGACCACAGGAACCCTATAGAACACGGACTTGGAACCTCTGTTGGAATCTGGCTAAATCAAAGCCTCCTGTTTCTGTCAAGGATACCTGCAGTAAGGAGATGACACTCCAGGAGATATTTCAATGATCTTTTTCCTTTTCAGGAATTATTTCAGATAAGCTAAAAGAAGAGGAATCAGGAGACAGGAATAATCTTCCAATTTGAGTCATGGATAGGGCAATGGACAATGGTGATCTTCAATACCATCATTAGTTTGGCTTTAAGAAACCAGTAGCTAGTTGCTATTTATATGATGGGGGTGGGGGGCTGCCTGGTAACAAAATAGCTCCACACCACAGCTTGAGATTTCCTTTAGTGTCAGTGTGTGAGCCTTCATAAAGTCAGCTGCCATTCCACCTCTGTGTAAACACTTCATATTTTTATGAAATTCAAATAATTTGTGAGAAACTGCTATGGCTAAGCTAAGATTTATGATCTCAGTCCATCAGTTCAATTGTAGTGTTCGTACTTGGAATTTAGGATGTAAATATGTGACTCCATCTTGATTAAAAGTGCACCTTGTCAGAGAAGTAGCAACACAACACTAAGAGATGTTCCTTAAGGCTGCAGTAGCAAATTCTTTACTATTGCAGGTGCCTTATTGGTAGAGGGCTCTAAAGAGCTATAACCATATATGCAACACTTGTAAGATAAAAGAGATTTTAATAATCAAGATTTTCCTGAAGCTTTGTTGGAAATAATGTTTTATTTCTGGTAATCTTTCCCCCTTTTTGTATTTATAACTCTACTAATCAAATTTCCTATCAAGAAACCATTGCTACGATATTTAAAAAAAACCTATATTATCAAGTTTATTCTCTGAATGAGAGAATAAATGAAATAAAGAATTATTAATGAACTTTGGCTGAAAGCAAACATTGCTACGATATTTAAAAAAAACCTATATTATCAAGTTTATTCTCTGAATGAGAGAATAAACGAAATAAAGAATTATTAATGAACTTTGGCTGAAAGCAAACTTAATCCTTTAAAGGAAGAAGACAGGAGAACTTAAACCTGTAAATGGTCCTTTGTTCTTTGAAAGTAAACTCCTTAGGAAGAAATGTTTCATGCTTTTATTCAGGTTGCATGAGTAGTGAAATGCCTTTATGTGACTGATGATAAACATTTTGTAGTACTGGAACCATACTTATTAAGAAAATCTGAAGGTACAAAGGTAGAGGATTTCAGATTGTCACTGACACGGATATTAGAAAGCTACCATTTTGGTCACTTTCTGAAGTTTTATCTTAGCTAAGGAGCTATTAACCATAATACTGACACTTCTCAATAATGGTTAAACCTATCTTAACCATTAAGCCAAGATATCACAAGACCTACTTTTTAATCTATATGAGGAAGACTCTCTGACCTTCAATCTGGTTGTTATTTTCTGTTTTTCAATTTGGGGAGGGATGGGGGTGCTAGTTTATCAGTATCAGTTGATGAGATTTTTTTCTAAATTTAAATGTTTCATTTATTAATCTTATTGATCCATTGGACAATTAATATTACTCTATTTTATCCATACTTCTCATCTAATAAGTCAGAACTTATAATTTAACAATTTAGATGTTCGCATTTAATTATTAGTTTAATCCTCACCCCACTATAAGAATCAGTAACTACAACCCTTCACAACTTAGATCCAGCCTTATTTCCAGATACCCTCTCTTCACTCTCATTTGCCTGCCCAGCATATCAGTTTATTCTCCTTAAACTCATGGTGGAGTCTCTTTTTCCTCTGCCTTTATATTGTTCACTCAATCAGGAATGCCCTCTCTCCCTAACATTCTCCTTTCCTATGTCTAAAGCTCTTCCCTAAGTCTAAGCCGAATTAACTGCTCCCCCATCTGTTACTATAACACTTCTTGCATTCTATATTTATCTGTCTCTTGCTAGACTGAACTATTTGAAGGCAGGGGTCATATAAAGTAATATGCTCAGAGTGATAGTAAACAAGATTTAGACTTAAATATGAGCTAAAGGGGGCCGGCCCGTGGCTCACTCGGGAGAGTGCGGTGCTGATAACACCAAGGCCACGGGTTCGGATCCCATATAGGGATGGCCAGTTGGCTCACTGGGTGAGCGTGGTGCTGACAACACCAAGTCAAGGGTTAAGATCCCCTTACCGGTCATCTTTTAAAAAATAAAAAAATAAAAATAAATAAATATGAGCTAAAAAAAAGTAGCTTGACTTGTGGTCTGAAAACCCAGATTCTAGTTTGGCTATCAGCCGTAAGTCACCTAAATTTTTATTTTTTTAATTTTTATTCATTTATTTATTTTAAAGATGCCGGTAAGGGGATCTTAACCCTTGACTTGGTGTTGTCATCATTACGCTCTCTGAAGTGAGCTAACCGGCTATCCCTATATAGGGATCCAAACCCGTGGCCTTGGTGTTATCAGCACCACACTCTCCCACGTGAGCCACAGGATGGCCCCTCACCTAAATTTTTTAGAGCTTGGTTTGGAAGTCAGTGTAATATACTAAGATCATAGATCTTGGAGTGAGAAAGACCAAGGTTTGAATCCAGATTCTGTCATTAACTAGCTTTATAAATTTGAGCAATTTATTCATCTGTAATATTCTCCTACCTCTACGGTATGTTACAAGGTTATGGTGAAAGACACATTCAAAGCACTTTACATAGTGCCCATGACAGAGTAAGCACTCAATAAATCATGTTATTTATCTCACCTGTAAGGCATGAAAGTAGAATTTAGCAAGTTGTATAGAAATAGAAGGCTTGGAGCAGACACTACATTAAAAGGATTAAAAATGGCTAGAGGATAAGGAACTTTGAATATCAATCTAAGAAATATAAATCTGATTAGGAACGTAACTGGGATAACCTAGAATTTTAGTGAGAGAGTGACCTAAAGAAAACAGCATTCAAAGAAGTTAATTCTAAGTGCAATTGAGTGTGGGATGTCTGGGAGGTAGATGTTTAAGGTGATATTTATAATCCATACGACATGGACAGATCTAAAGTTGAAGTGTGGAAACAAAGGATGAGTTAAAAATGAAGCAAAATGTAGTCACAGCTATAGAGGATAAAGATCATTGTCATTATAAGACTAGAAACTTGAAGCTTACTGTTTAAAAAAGAAAATTAAGTTCAGTGGCAGATACTGTTTTTTTTACCTGCTTAGTTATAGGTTAATATTATGCTCAAGGTCACGCAACTAGTAAATAAGCCAAAATTTGAACCAAGGTGAACTTATGTTAACCACTTTAAAAGTAATAGAAACAAGTTTCCAGACAATGTTACAGGAGAAGATGAGAAAAAGCTTTAAGTCAACAGCTTCTGTTGCTAATACATTATGAGCTTCTATGGCCTCACCTCTCTTCTCTTCTCAGTAGCAGAAGCTGTGGAAAAGTTTGTAATCTGGAATCCATGGATGGGCTTTCAAGACCTCCATGATTCTCATTTATGCATGATTCACATTTCCGTGCCTGTTTCTCTGGGAAGAGGGGCTGTGTTGTCTTTCATCAAATTCACAAAGGGATTCGTGACCAAAAAAGAGCTCCACTAGAGAGAGAAGAGCGGCTATCATTTATCAAGCTCTTACATTTGCCAAGCACTGTTCTATGTGCTTTACATGTATTAGCACTCTAAGCATTACAACACTATGAGGTAGGAATTATTAATCCCCATTTACAGACAAGGAAACTAAGATACAGAAATGGGCTTACAGTCACTCTAGCCACCACAATTTGGTGCCTTAGCTCATGCTTTTAACTAATTATACTGTGAGGTGCAGAATATTGGCATCCTCAGAACTAGGTCTTTTAGCCAAAACACTGTTAAATTTTTTTGGTGTGGGGGGGGGACTGGCTGGTGTTACAAACTTTTGACCTTGGTGTTACAACACTGTGCTCTAAAAAAAAAAAGAAAAGAATTTTTTTTTCCTTTAAGTGCTTTTAGGAAGGGCATTTAGGTAAAATCCCCACTATTTTCCACCTTCTTACTTTATATATCTACTGTCATCTGCCAAACTACTCATTCTGACATGGAGCATTTCTATTAAAGAGGGCCTGAGTCTCACTTTATTTAAAAGTTTTTCTTCTACAGCTTTTGAAAGTTCCCATGTTAACTGTATTTTCTCCAGTGAGTGGATTGTAGCTCTCACTTTGAAACATTATCCTTTCAGTCACTAGTGTATTTAAGCTCAAATGAATTAAACACTAGTAATGATTAAAATGAATCTCATGACAAATCATAGAAAAGTCCTGTCAATATTTCCAATAAAAATTGGAAGGATGCTACAGACAGCTTTCTATTGGAATGTTTCTTGATTTTTGGACTTTTGTTTTACTCAATTTGTTAAACAAGAGTTGATGGAATTACAGCCCCCACAATAACAGTCATAGAAACATATTACCTCTTTGAAAGAACAATACCATTAGTTAGTTATAAAATTTAATTGTTAGGATCAAGCAGTGGTTGTTAGTCAAACCAGTCCACACTGATAGCTTTAAAGTGTGCAGATGTTAGTTTTTAAATGTGACAGATACCAATCAGATTTTCATAACACTGTTCAGGATCTACATAAAATTGATTCTGGACATAGTTCAATACAAAAGGCTAAGTGAAATGACAGTGCAAGCATCAATAATTAAACCAAGGGTGTAATTTTCCAAATCACTTCTAGTAAGACAGAATAAATTCAAACTTTTTTAAAGTCTAAAGCTACATAAAACTCCAAGCAATCTATTTTTCTGCCTGAGATCAAAATAAGTTTCCTTTTTCCTATCTAAACATAATTCTTGGCATTGAGGTAAATCTGCATTCATGTGATATATGGTGCCAAACTTTCCAAAAAAATTTTAATCCCTGCTTTAAAGAGAAATTCTCATGTTACACATATATATTTACATATTTTTGAGGTTAATAGGCCTGTAATGGGACCATGATACTACTACTAATATGAAAATAAAAAGGCCATTCATTTATACAAAGTGTTCCTAAATGGTGCAATATGAAATGGGATCACAAAATCTATGTACATATATAAAATACTAAGAGTTCAGAAATTAAGCTCACTTTAAGATAACTCATTCTATTCTTCTCTTTGGAGTAGAGGTTGCAAAACTGTGATGTACAACAAAAATATTGTGTATAAAAAGCTCCAAAACCAAGCATTAGCTTAAATTGGCAATAACTGCAACTTAAATTAAAAACTAAACTCAACTAGATCTTTACTGTGGATATTCAACTTTCTGCTTTGTGGCCTGCAAGTTTCTACTGAGTGTAAAAGCTCTTCTTGTTAAACCTCTTATCTGTCACCTCTGCCCCCACCACAAAAACACACCAACACCAACACCACCTATACAGCTTCCTTCTTCATGGTTGTCTTTGGCAATGCTTCCAAATCTTGAAAGCAAAAGAACCTGCTGAAGTACATGAGGAGGATGAAAACACTACATGTGATGTATGAAAACCTATGTAAGAGTATGTACTGAGAAAGAAAATACTAGAAAGCTGAGTGAGCAGCAGTATACCCTCAAGAGAAACAGAGAAAATAGGAAGACTGTTACTCCTCTAGCCCTTCTTCCACACTATCTCCCGATTAGAAGAGTGGGACCAAATTTCAAAATCTGAAAAGGTAACAACTTTGGAAGAGGAGCTAGAGAAGTGAATAAATGATAAAGAAGTACAGCAGTAACTTTAGCTGTCAATGAGTTTCTTTGCTCTGACATTGGCATTATCAATACGATCTTTGTTGGTGTCAGCCTGAAAAAAAGAAACAGATACTAGCATTACTTCACAAGGTAAGTCACTCTAATAATAGTTAAATTTTATACACTTGTAATAATAGACACAATGAAAAAATTCTAGAAACATTTGATGTCGTATTACAAAACTCATTTTGGGCAAGAAGTGACAGAATATGAAATTCACTTGGAAAACCCCTGGTATATAAACAGGACATAAGTATAACAGAACAACTTGCCAGTATTTCATCCATTCTATAACATGTTTTTTCATAGTTTAACATATCTGAAACTGGGATGCATCATATAATCAATGGCACTTTTGATGCAATGAAATATAAGAATGTTCTTCTCTGTTATAGATCTGGACCTTGTGGGAGTCCTCTGAACTGAATCATAGAATCTCATCTGGAGCTATCCTAAGTCTAACCCAGAGAGAATGAAATAACCTTCCCAAAGATCTCTGGAACATGTATTACCACCCACATCAATATCGGAATTAAAATGATCGGTAATATGTAGTCTAAACCCAGACTATTATCTTATGAGGCATTATTTACTTTGATTTTCACATACTGACTCTTTCATGAGATGAGTATTCAGGAACTTACTAACTTGTTATTTAACAAATAAAACTCCAAAAGCTAACTTACTCATTCAGGGGAAAAAAAAAAAAAAAAAAAAAAAAGCACACTCAAACGATAGAGAAGATTCTAAGCTTCGTGTGTGAAGGTTTAAGTAAAATCACTTCATTCTAAGACTATGGTTTTATAGTGAACCAACTGCCATGAGCAAGAGATGAGAGGACTTGGCTCTTGTTTCTTGATGTGTTAGAACTGCTGCTTCATCAAAACTGTAAGAACTGTGAGGACAGAATCTTACCCTATTGTTTTCCCTTGACGTATCTAACACAGATGTCCATTACTAACACATTGGATTGGATGTCTCATTTTCCTGTGGCAATAAAAAGCTTTACCTTCTCTGTGATCCGTGTTATTTGTTGATTTTGAGCTTCAATTTCATTGCCCATGTCCAGGGCCATGTTTTTTAGATTTCCCAGGATACTGCCCACTTGAGTCAGGTTCTCTTCCATTTCATCTTCTCTGGCATCATTAGTTATACTATCACAAAAAGACAGTTAATTCAGTACTTCCTGTTGAATTAAAATGGACCAAGTCTGGATTTAATTTTCATAAAAATAAGCAAAATGAGTCTTAGCAAGTGTTAGATCCAAGGGAATGTACATTACTATTCTTGGGAAACATTCTATAGTAAAAAGTGAAAGACTGATCAAGGACAGCAGTGTTTTAAAGTGATGTAAGAGAAAATTATGAAACAACTGTAGAACAGTGTTTCTAAAAGTGTGATTCCCAGCATCTCCTGGGAACTTAGTAGGCATGGGAACATGCTAATTCTCACACTCCACTCCAGATCTACTGAATCAGAAACTGTAAGTGGATCTTAGCAATATGTGTTCTTCTTTTTTTTTTTGACTGGTAAAGGGGATCATAACCCCTGG